AATTTAAATGGTGCTGGCGGGAATCGAACCCTGGTTGCTCGCGTAATGTGAAATTTACCTTTTATGGAGCTTTATATAAGCCTAAAATGTAATATTTTTAACCTTGACAATTACCGCCTTGTATCAGTGCGGTCGGCGGGTCTAGTACTGCTGCAGACTGTTCCGGAAGGCCTGGGCGCTTGCGAACTGCGCGAAGCGGCGCTGCGCGTACCCGGCGTGCTCGCCATACACGAGCTGCACGTGTGGCAGCTGCATCGCGACAAGATTGTGGCCACGGCTCATATCGCTTACGGCTCGCATGAGGTCGGTGGTAAACATTATTTCTATAATAAAACATTGGTTGTCGTCTCGCTGTTATTTATCAATACTCGAAATTAAGATATTTTTATAATTTTTAGCCCCCGACGAAAACAGAGGGATGTTATATTATGTTTGAAGCTGTCTGTGGTATCGTAGTTCCTGATTAACTTACTTAACTGATTTAGATTTAGTTTTTTTTTTTTTTTGGTTTGAAAGGTGACTTGATAAAGAGTGTTTTTAGCTATGATTTAAGAAAATGTTTCAGCCGTTTGAAAAAAATGAACTATTTTTGTTTCGGGGTATTTTTAATTTTCAATTTAAGTTAAATTCATATAACAACAAGACAGTACATTTATTGTTATTTTTTATAGAATAAGGGTAACAAACGAGCATACGGTCCACCTGATGGTGAATGGATATTGTGGCACATAAATACCTATATTCATCCTCGATTAAGAATCAAAATGTTAATGCGCTGTCGCATCTAAAGTCTAAGATGGAACACCTCGTTTCCAGTAAAAAGTCTCGCATTTCTCTACACCCATCATACTAAACACAGCAGCATTAAGCTACTATTTTACGCTGATATTCTGTGAGAGCGTGGTCCGATCCATTCGCACTATAACTATACAGCTTCAACATGACTCTCCCACGTTTAGAAATTCGATACGTCGTGCCACAGGTGTGTAAGAAAATCAATCAATCCACCTTATATATAGACACAGCTAAGGTAAAGAACGGCCCAGCACGGTCCGAAGATCTTGTAGTCTCCAACAAACAGCAGCTAGGCTTGAACAGACGTCAAATATGTTTCTTTTAAACCTGTTTTAAATGTTTTACTTACTACTATAGATTATATATTAGAATACGAACCATCAATCTAATATATAAAAATGTATGTTTTATTTAGTCGTATTTTATGCGCTGCCATACCATTCATCAGATTGCGCTAAAACTTTGTTAATTTATTGCTTACACTTGCGCGAAGGTAGTAAGTAGTACAACTTGTAGTAGGTGCCATGTGCATCGTACCGAATAATTTATTTAAAAGTCATATATCATTCAATTTATTATCATTCCTAATCTATACATATGTAGCGGTGTGTGCAACAAGCGAAAAAAACCGAAGTTCGCGTTTACCGAAATCACGCTATCAACATTACGAATCATAAACCAGTATATATAGAACATCTCCGAAATATCACATGGAGTGTTGGCGCCCTGACAGAACACCTTGCCCGGTGGGAGATCTCCCTTTTTTACGGCAACACTATACAATACTTACAAATTAAAATAAAATTGCCAATTGTCCGTTTGTAACAACAATTCAACGGGGTTTTACTAAATGCACACGAAGGTATTACGGAAAAATAATCAAAAAATTATAACTCTAAAATACCGCATGGTCAGGGGGATGTATAGTGTTCGCGTAAATATAAGAAATCATTATATAAAATAATGTAATTAAAAATCAATATTTGTTTATGATTTCAGGACTATCTGCGTAATTCAGAACTTGTATGTGATGTCTTTAAACGACACGGTATCGGTCTTGTTACCCTACAGCCAGAATTTGCTTTTGATCCAATCGGTGGTAAGAAATTATTTTATGAATATTTGAACAAATTTTATGCATTTTTATTATTTATAAAGATTTATAAAAAAAATCTAAGATTAGAGAAGGCAAACACTGCCTGCAGCCAAGCAAATTGCTAATCTACTGACGGAATTAAAATAATGAAGTTCTGTTTTTCCAAGACACAGACGAAGAGAAGAAGGCATTGGTGGAATTTGCGAACATAGCGTGCTCCTGTCCGTGCGCAAAAGAGTGCACAGCCCCTCGCTGTTGCGAAGCCCCCCGGAGGCCGCTAATAACTCGCATATAGTCAATTGTTAAATCAAATGAAAAGACTCAGTGCTAAATTGAACTACATTGACACATAAGCAAGTTTAATTTACCAAACAGTGCAAATAGTCGTAATGTCTTATTGTTTTAAGTATAAAGCTGCTGCATTTTGACGTAATGTCATTGTTTTAAGTATAAGGAAATTAAAACAATTCTAGGTTAAGTTTATTAGTCCAACCAAAGAACTTTTATTCGTTACAAACGTCGCGTCGTTTTCTATTCGCAGTAGGTAAAAGAGGAACCCACGCCTAATGAGCTAGTGAAAGTGTTTAAAAACCGGACCTGGGGTCACATCGCGACTACGCTCATTAGTTGAATGACGACTAAATACATAGATTACTGTATATAACTAAATTATTGTCTGTGGCAACTGGAATTGACATCGAAATTTAAAATTAACAATGTCGTTTATTTTAAATTGAATGACAATTCTTTTCGCTCGATAGTTGTCTGTGATAGAAATGTGCATATATACAAATGTTAATTACCTACTCTCTTATTTTGTAACATCCGTAACTCTTATCTTTTTTATACAACAAAGCGACTATGATTTGGTCAATACCTACTTTCATTTGGTCAAGAGAGAGTAAGCACATATTATGTAGGTCCTATTGCGTTTATACAAAAATGTAATATTGACTGCAGATTCGTGATCAATTAAGTATTTATATTCGCTATAATATACAACGTGATACGTGAACCCAAGGTCATACTTTGTGTATAATGTGCATATAGAATTTTTATAGAGTAATGAACAATCGTTATTTATATACTGTGTGTGAAAATACCTAATTTAAAAAAATATGACGAGTTTTCCGACACTAATAGGAAAACTTCAACGATTATTCATAAAAATTAAAGACACGTATCTATGTATTTTAAAACAATGTTAATTAATTGATGTTAAAAACCATGTTAAAAATTGGAACAATAATGGTAATTAAAAGAACAATTTACAAAACACATTTATTTGATACGGTGTACTTAATGTACATTAACACACGCTTCACATATTATTTATATCAATACATATAAAAGAGTAAATACCATAAAAACACAACAGCAAACAAGTCTAATCTAGATATAGGTACCTAATTCTGCTATTATAATTCGAACGGTGATATTTACGAATCACAATTAATACAGCTTCACTTGTCCTTCTACAAGTTTATATCTACGATTAGTATATAATTTAAAAAAATCACTTTCTATAATTTGAAAAAATCTTATACTAAAATAATATTTTTATATTTTCCAAGCATTTTTGTATGTTAAAAGGTTGAATAAAATTTTATATGAGGAAGTACAATGCACCTAATGTTACACTATACATAATATCATTCGTATGATTTAAAAAAAAATATTTAAAGTAAGGTATTTGTAATGCCTTTGAGCGGGATCGCAGTCCAAAGCAAGTCATATAGTAAAAGAAAACAACTTGCAACAACATGGGGCGATAGTATTTTTTTATTTATTTATTTATGTACATATAAGATACAGAAACAGTTTTAAAGTAAGTTCGTACAAAGGTTCTACTTATTCCATAATTTGCTGAAATATTTTCCAGTAGACCTATAAAGGAAATTATATTATGAAGGCAAGCTTAGTGCATATATTACTACCTACCACTAATGAATAAATAATATACAAAATGTTACGTAAATTATATTAAATAATACTATAAATATTTTTTTATTTTACTAACTTCGAGTCTATTTCCAAATTGAAAATACTGTATAATGTTTGTCTACGTTTACTTTAATTCAGAAAAATCTAACTCCATGTTTAAAAATGGCGTTAGCACTTAGCGCAATAAAATATACTTGGGTTTTCATAAATTAAACTTTTTATTTTAAAAATATAAGACTAACAAAAATCAGTTAAGTAATTATTTTTCGTAGAGAAAAATTTAAAAATATATGTTGATATTAATGTGAAATACTATTTAATAAGATGTCTTCTGTTGGAAAGTGCACAAAGAGAACTTTATTTTTAACAAGCGCTTTGTCCCGGCTTTGCACCGGATATTTCCGCATTTCGACAACAGCGCCATCTACTGGATCCAATTGAGTTTTAAACCACCCAGGGACCCAATTAAACACACACAAAAATTCATCAAAATCGGTCGAACCATTTTCGACTTTTGCGAGACAATTGATTTTGATATATGTATAGATATTATTTAAGTGCTAAGTTAGTGTGACTGTGATGTTTCTAGACAGTATTAAATGTTTTGCTTGTTACAAAACTTAACGACATATTTATGTTATTAAGTTTCTACCTAATTATTTGGATTGTCAATTAAAATAATTTAAGAGTTGTGTACAAATCGTTGTTAATATTTGTTTGAAAATCAAAATAAACTATTTTAACAATATTGTGGCATTATTACTATTATTACAATTATAACTATCTTATAATAATCGTTAATTGTTATTTAATCACACGGAAAGTAGTACCTACCTATGTGTAAGGATGTCAATTTGTCTCAAGAAAACATTTTTTTTAATTTTGTAAAATTGAAATGACCAACGGACTTACAGCCTATCTGATGGTAACTGGCTACTGCAGTCCACAGATGCGTTATCATCTCTGAAGACTAAAATATAAATATACAGCCTATATTTATACTTTGTCTCTGTACGCATCCGATCGGAACGCTGATATTTGACGGCAGAAATAAGTAACCTGCCACCAAACAGACTCAAAGGCTGAAAAACATTCCTACCAAATACACATTCAATATGCTTATCAATCAATCTATGAAACCACTAAGCTTTTTGAAATTAACAAACTAGTTTTTATCATTTTGCGTATAATCAAATTCGACTGATGAATTATTATTAACAAGAAACAATTTACGACAATGGCCAGGTCTACAAATACGACTTTTTATCAGCTTCGAGCACGGTTTCCCAGGTCCTGATACGACATGCTGGAAGAATAATATCAAGGTTAGTTCTACAAACTATTATGGGGTAAAATCAATAATCCCGTACAATTAACAACCTTAACTATAGTAATACATAATTTTAAAAATTAATAATCGACCAACACTATGACACTGCAACTACGAGAAAGTGTAATTTCTTTATTAATTTTAGATTTTAATTTAGAGTGACAAAAAAATTATACGTCCAAAGTGGTGTATTTTGAATACTTTTTTTATAGCAGTGAGTGTCACCCGTAAGGACTAAAATGGAATACCACGTCCAATAAAAAAGGGTCTGGGATTCTAGTACGAAATACAACAGTATTAAGCCGCTATTTTACGCAGGTATTCTGTGAGAGCGTGGTCCTTCCCCGGTCGAGCCGACCCATTCGTGCTACAACCATAATATAGCTGCAGCGTAGCTGTACCACGTATGAAGCACACAGTTTTAACATCTTTTAAACAGACAGTTTTAACTTTTCAATATCAAATAGACTGAAACTATTATTAGATAGGACGAATACTTACAGAGTACACATTCCATGTTATGTATCCTCATATATAATACATATCCTGATGTATCCTCGATTGAGTATCAAAATCAGGCGTTATAATGTATGTAACGTTGAACTTCCGATGCAAAGATGAAATGCAACATTGAATAACTCAATGAAATGCAATGTTACTAGTTAAAAGGGTCTCCGGTTATGCTGCTATTTATTTATTTACACTTTAAGGAGAGGGCATTCTCCCGCAGTCAACCATTAGGCTAAACATAGATATACATATAGGAAGCATGAATAATGAAATAGCATATGAGTATATAAGTACATACAATATATACACATATGCTATTTCATGCAGATATTCTGTTCAAGTGTGCCCCCCCCCCCCCCCCCCACTCGAATAGATCCGGCCTATTCGTGTTGTAGCTACCCTACAGCGTGCCTGCACCACGAACCACTTTCTATCTGCAGTGATCAACTACACAGGAAGTGTTATAATGCCACACAATGTACTCGCAAACACATGCGCCCAGTATAACTCTTATGCGATAACTTCTTATTTAAGGCAACCTGGGATGTGTAAAGACACGGGGACGATTGAAACTCAATCAGACCCAAAAAACGAACATTTGTGTTTTGGCACAAATTTTGATTCCGGTTGAGATTCGAACGCAGGAGCCAAAGACAAAAAAAGGCAAATCACTGCAACGGGACAATATTATATTTGGCATTAAATTTTTACGGAGTGACGAAATATAATTTGAAGAAAATATTATTACAATTTTTTTATAGAATAAGGGGGGTGACAAACGAGCACACAGTCCACCTGATGGTAAGTGGTTGCTGCAGCACATAGACATCTACATCTATCCTCGATTACGAATCAAAATGCAGATGCGTTGTCACCCGTGAGGACTAAGATGGAATGCCTCGTTTCCAGTAAAAAGGGTCTCCGATTCTCTACACTTACCATACGAAACACAGCAGCGTTAAACTGCTATTTTACGCTGGTATTCTATGAGAGCGTGGTCCTTCCCCGGTCGAGCCGACCCATTCGTGCTACAACTATACTATCAATATAGCTCCAATATGGCTCTACCACGTATAAACAATGCAGCAATTACAATTACCGTCGCGTATCTATCTCGCAGATTCCCTTTTTTCTTTTTCTTTTTCTTTCAGGGAAGGTAAAGTGTATTTTAATCTAAGAGATTTAAATATAATTTAAATGTCTTTGATTTTAGTAATTTCTTAATTTCTTAATATTTTTTTTTATCAATAAGATACATTAGCAGTCTTATTCATTGAAATAATTTATATTTTGTTTGTATCGTCATCATCATTTCTCACCATTATCATCATTATGTGATGGGCTCAAAAGTCCATTACTAAACATAAGTCTAAGAAAATGTATTTACCGTAATACTTGAACACACTTGAACGCTTCTATTTATCGTAGAAACAAATTTTTTACTAATTAGTTAAGGAACAATTAAAGCGACTTTAGTAGAATTAAATTTGCAAAACGTCATACTTAATACGTTCAAAAATTAAAACTTTATAATTGTCAAACATACGCACCCCAATGTACATTCTGCAGTATATTATTTTCGCAGAAGTCAACCGACAAAACCTTCATACATAATGACGAAGTTTAGGGAAAATTATTAAGCAGTTTACAAAATATATAGATAAAGTAATCGAAAGCACGAACACAAGTGATCAATATTCTACAAACATACCAAAATGAGGCGATAATTGAGTTTGATAGCGTAATCACAGTCTCCGAAGCAATCGCTCCAACCAAGCCACGAACTCGTCGCGCAGTCAACGTCATCTAAAAGTCACATCTTAATATATATATAAATTACGTGTCGCGTTGTTTGTCCGCGGTGGACTCCTAAACTACTTAACCAAATTTTAATCATATTTGCACACCGTGTACAGTTTGGTCCAACTTGAGAGATAGGATAGTTTTTTTGCCCATGTGTGACCCATAATTTTTTTGTGAATTTATGGATTTTTCATAGGACATGACAAAGGGTCGTCGAAAAGGGCAGAACAAGGTCTGCCTAGCAAGCTAGTATAATATTATAATGTACCGACATACAATGGTGACAGAATTACCATATCTAATAATATTCAGATAAAATACATTCAGTTATGCAGGAATTTTCTACTAGTACGTTCACCATTGGCATGTAGGGCACATTTTGCATGAGTAAATTACGCATGTTTGTCTATTAACCCGGAACAATCAGCCCCTACAAATACTTCCGTCTGCTTAATGCGGTAATCGAACGCGCGTCCTTGCAATACTGCAGACAAACAATACTGTTTAAACAAGGGGAAATATAACCTCAAATGGCTTAGCAAGATCCTCTGTTATGCCGAAAATATTGCAGCATTAATTTTGAAAGAAATATATAGTAAAGTTGAGGATTAACGTTAAGTACTATTAATAAAAATAAATTACCTAAAGTATCGGCGTCCTGAAGCTTGTTTCCTGCCGCCCGGTTTCAAGCTTCGGGACGCCTATAGTTTAGATAATTTCTTTTTACAGTGAAAATAATGGTAATTTAAAAAAAATAAAAAAACATAAGCCCTGCTTTATAGTTAGTTCAGTTAGTATGCAAAGTTTGAACTTATTTAAAGTATTTTATGAATAACAGCGGTTTATTGTTCAGTTTGGAGGTAACTTTGGATTTTTTTTTCTGTCGAGAAAATTTTACGGAATCATGTTTTCGTCTACGAGGGCTGCACTAAAAGTATCGTGAATGGAATATTTCCACTGTTCCTGTCATATTAAAATCTTATTAATTGAAAACTCCTTGGTTTTAAAAATCGAATACCATTTATTTATTTAAAAAAAGATTCTCGGTCTTGTCACAAGGTATTGTAAAACTTGTTTAGTCGTTGAGAAAATGGAATTGACTCGAGAAAATTCAAGAGCGATGATTTATTATAACTTTCGAAGTGGTTTAACACAAAAACAGTGTGTTGACCGGATGATTTCTGCATTTGGTGATGAAGCCCCATCCAAAACCACAATTTATCGCTGGTTTGCTGAATTTCAACGTGGACGTGTCAAGCTCAGTGATGATCCCCGTCAAGGTCGCCCAAAAACTGCAGTCACCCAAGAAAACGTTGATGCTGTGCGTAAGCTGATTGAGGAAGATCGACATGTGACATATCGCAAAATTCAGGCAACTTTAGACATTGGCATGGGTCAAATACAAATAATCTTGCATGAACTATTAGGTATAAAAAATTGTTTGGTGTTTTCCCGATGGATACCGCATTCGCTCTGTGAAGAGCAAAAAGCGGATCGCGTTACTTGGTGCATCAGAACTCTCGAAAGATTCCAAGAAAGATCCTAAGATTCTCAAATGCTATATACAATATCGTATCAGGTGACGAATCCTGGATATACGCGTATGAACCTGAAACAAAAAACTAGTTACGAGTTTGGATGTTCGAAAATGAGTTAAAGCCAACAAAAATTGTTCGTTCACGGAGTGTTGCAAAAACAATGGTGGCCACGTTTGGCTCCAAAACCGGCTATGTTACGACTATTCCTCTTGAGAGACAAAGAACGGTTAATGCAGAATGGTATGCTAGCATTTGTTTGCCACAGGTCGTTTCTAAACTCCGTAAAGAGAACTGCAACCGCCGCATCATCCTCCATCACGACAATGCGAGTTCTCACACCGTACACAGAACAAAAGAGTTTTTAGAGCAAGAAAACATAGAATAATTAGACCATCCACCGTACAGCCCCGACCTAAGCCCTAATGATTTCTATACTTTCCCTAAAATAAAGAATAAATTGCGTGGACAGAGATTTTCATCACCTGAAGAAGCTGTGGACGCCTACAAAACGGCCATTTTGGAGACCCCAACTTCCGAATGGAATGGTTGCTTCAATGATTGGTTCCGTCGTATGGAAAAATGTGTCAAATTTCGCGGAGAATACTTCGAAAAGCAATAAATACATTTTTAAATAGTAATGTTGTGTCACTTCCTTGATTCCCGAAATTTTCAGTGCCGCCCTCGTAACATAGTACTTAACATTAATCCTCAACTTTATCATATATTTATTTCAAAATTAATGCTGCAATATTTTCAATATAACGGAGAATCTTGCTAAGCCATTTGAGGTTATATTCCCCCTTATAAATTTTCTTAAGGTATAATATATTCGCGTTTGGTGATTAATAACTGGATAAAGGTACTACTACTTGACTCATTATTTCTGTAAGAGATGATTTTTCAATTCTCAGATAAAATTTATTCAAACAAAAAAAATTATGAATAAAATAGTTTAATTGTTTTACTTTTATAATCAGTCACGTTATATAACTGTATTTAGATATCGGATAACTTATCTGACGATTGAAAAATCAGCACTCAGACTTATAGCAGACCATCGACAACATTGAAACTGATATCAATTATCAATATTAATAAGAGTCTTGGCCTCATTCGATTGAACTAGACACACATATTATGCCGTTTTGATATTTTAATGTCAATTAAATTTCTAATATTATTAGTACCTGAGTTCCATTAATTATTATAATAAGTACCTTATATTTTCTAACATATTTCTACATCAATACGTCAAAGTTTAGTGGTATGTCGGACTCCGAAAATATTAGCGGACATATTTATTAACAACAGACGGAGGTGGATTAAATTTCGACAGCGCCCTAAGTTAGCACCCTTCTAGCGGCCATATATTATAAATTATAACTAATCATTTGCAAATAAACCATAATAGTTGTACAATTAATTGTAGTTATATACTTTAATAGTTGCAAAATAATTAGGACACAAGTACCCTTAACATCTGGGCGTGAATGAAAAATGTATTGACACAGTGAGGGCGATGTAGAATCAATCAAATAGACAAATTTTTTTCGTTTAAAAACTTCTGCGCGCACGTGCGTAGATTGCCTTAAAGACAATTCGCCACTGACAACAACAAATTGACTATTAAACAAAACCACAAATTATAGTTTTCTTGTGTATAGACCATCTCAGTCTATAATAATTACAATGGACAGTTAACATGAAGATAAATGTAGTACCTGCTAAAACTGGCGTGTCATTCTGCAAAACGTCGTTGTCTTTGTTGGAAGGTGAAGGTTTAAACTTTTTAAAAATTATTTCCGGGTGGCTATTGAGAGCTGTGAAAAATAATGTGTTTTAGGTTATTATTTCGACAAGTCTATAACAACAAAGTGATAAAGGAACTCGAGAATAGTTATTCTATTTCACGATGAAGGTTTGACTTTGGTTGTTGTTAGCTGTGCACATACACATTGTGTTAGTGTGCGTAGGCCTCGGGAGCGCTCAGTCACGATCGCGAGTCGAACGAATCGCACATAGAGGAAAGTAATATATCTGAATCGCAGTTGCACACACAAACGCGTCTATCGGTACGCGGTCACTACTACAACCAAGGCGAAACCTTCGTACCGTAGCCCATGTGCCTACATTCGCAACTTGCTGCACAAAGAAGATTTCAACGGCATTGTAGCATTGCCGTTGATATTACCAGACCCGGCCAGTCTCCGTCTCTATCCTCTTGTTATCAATATACCACGCATTCAAAGTTTAAACCAAAACCTATACTTTGTCGTGTTCAACAACGAATCTAAATGACTTAGTTTTTGTGAATTTTATTTGTGGGTCTGTATGATCGAAAAATGTACCTAATGAGTATACGATTGCATTTTAAATAATTTAAGCATTTATTTTTTATTTATCTATAAATTATAATATATCATAATATTAGATTATATTTAGACTACATCTCATTATAATGGCACGAGCAAAATTGCTGTTAAAGGTAATTACGCAGCACATTAAGTCTAAAGTTTTAATACTTACATAACTTTTTAATACATACCAAAGTTACCAGGATCATTTTGTTTTCGGCACTGGCTGTTACATATATCTCTCGTAGGGAAGTTATTCGCGTTGCCTCCGCAGCCGGTAAAGCCGAAAGGTTCACAGGCGTTGCGTGTGGTATCATAAAACCAACGTTCCTCATACCCACGACAAGGGCCCACCGACAACGGCAAGGAACACACATCTGTTTGTACAATAATTTTCAGAGATTAGAAAACTTTTTATACGGGGTAGAGTTTTTTTTTTTTGCGCCCGAAGCAATTAAAGGGCTACCCTATACGTAGGGAGGCGGAAAATGCATTACGCATACCACGATAGCCGGTATATCGTGGTTATGAGGGGCTCACTGTCCTACCGGGGACCCTAAGTGATACCCTCTAAAAACCGCCTTTGGGGACAGGCAACCGGCTGATTAAGCTCTATTGTGCCTTATCATGAGCGACCCTCTTTTGGGAAAAGAGGGCGCAGGCGGCTAAGTGCCGCTGAGGGAGTGCCTACGAAGGCAAATTAATGTTAGATATTACAATAATTTTATTTAATTAGAGTTGGCCTGAGCCGCCAGGAGACAGTTCAGGTCGTTTGAAAGTTTATTAGGCGGGTCCGAGAGAGAGTTTCTCGGCCTGCGGACACGATAGCGAGAGGGGGGTGGGGCTGCATAAGAAGCTGCCTCACGAATTAAATGGTTTGGGTGCGACTCTGAGGCTTTGAAGAAGTTCTCAGAGAGTTTTTTAAGAAATTGTTGAATTGTTGGGAGCTCTAAGTCCCGATGAAGGTCGGCATTGCGGACGTACCACGGTGCGTTCGCATCTCGACGACAGAAGAGGTTCTGAACTATTTGGAGTTCATTTAAAATGTTAGGGTTTGCGTGGGCAAAGACGGGGCCCGCGTAGGACATGACTGGTCGTATACATACCTTGTAGAGGGTGCGCTTGTTTCGAAGGGACATTTTACTGTGTCGGCCCAACATACTGTTGAGCCTACTCAGATAAAACCGTGCGTGACGGGTTACTCTTTGGACGTGGGGCTTGAAAGTGAGCCCTGTGTCTAGAGTGACACCTAAATATTTGGCGGACGTATGCCAGGGGACAGGGGTCCCTAGCATACGTATTGGTGGAGTGTTTTTGAGACGGCGTCGTTTATAATCGAAGTGGACGGCGGAGCTCTTCTCCGGGTTCACATCGATGCGCCATTTTTTGAACCAAGCTCCTAGGTCATCAACTGACTTTTGGATCTTGTTCCGTATAAGGGGTAGTGAGACACCTTTGCAGTAGATGGCAGTGTCATCTGCAAAGAGGGAGAGTTGAACACCTTTCGACGGGATGGGAATGTCGTTGGTGAACAGGATGTACAGCAGAGGAGCAAGTACTGAGCCCTGAGGGACACCAGCCTTGATAGTTCGCTGTGAAGAAAGCGTGCCTTCATGTCTGAAACGAAAGGTACGATGTTTTAAATAGGAGGCCACGAGACGAACTAGACGATCGGGGAGACCTATTTTATAGAGCTTGTAGATGAGGCCTGTGTGCCAGACTCTATCGAAAGCTTTGGCTATATCGAAAAAGACCGCGATGGTCTTATGACGACGAGGATAGAAACCGCTGAGGATATATTCCACAATGCGGTGAACTTGTTGGGGACATGAGTGTTTGGCTCGGAAGCCGAATTGATGGGGAATGATAAGAGGGTCGCCGTCTGTGGGAAACAGATAGCGCCTCATACGAATTTGGATGACTCTTTCGAAGAGCTTGCCCATTGCCTTGAGGAGGCTAATGGGGCGATGGCTGGAGGGGGAGGTTGAGAGGCTTGCCTGGCTTGGGAATTCCAATCACAGTAGCCTCTTTCCACGTAGTGGGAAAATAACTAAGGTTGAAGCAGGCGTTGAAGATAATAGATAAAAAGGTTAACACCTGCTCGGGAAAGTGTTTTAGGGCTTGGTTGGAGATGCCATCCGCGCCCGGAGCCTTTTTAGGCTTAAGTCCTTTGATGAGGGATGAGATCTCATCATTGGACACAGAGATAGGTTCGGAGGCCGTGGTGGGTGAGTTCCGGCGGCGGACCTCATCCTCCACTGCCTGGACGTGTGAGGGGTCGACGGGTTGAGAACTGGGAGAGCATTGAGCGGCAATGCTATCTGCAAAGCACTCAGCCTTTTCCTCGTCCTCGAAGGCAACCGTGCCGTCGGGACGGGAGAGAGGGGGAGTGTGGGTGATAGCGTCTATGCGGAGGGCTCTAGCCATCTGATAGTACGCTGTGTGAGATGGAGAGATATTCTCCATGAGCTTACTCTTTTCGAGGTCTCGAAATACAGAGAGGCGGAAGCGGAGTTCTCGTTGAAGACGATTGGCCGCGCGCCTATATTCGGGGGTGGGATATTTTGCTGCTCTCCTGAAAGCAGCTTTTTTGGCTTTTAATAGGTTGCTAATATGTAGGGGAAGCCCACTATTGTTAGCAACCGGGACGACCCTTTCGTTCTCCTTAAGGGAGGATTTAATAAGGGTGGAGAGTGAGTCGACCGCGGTGTCGATTTTTTCGGGACTATCTAAGTCCGACGGTAGGGAGATGGTAGAGTCCTGTGAGTCCAAAGCTTTAGCTAGGGACTCCTTGCAGTTAGTGAAGGTTTTCGTGTGTGTTGGGGGAGGTGGCTGATGGCCAAGAATGAGGGAGACCGGTCGGTGATCTGATCCTAGATCGTCTAGTGTCTCGATTGCTCCGAGGTTGAGAGAAACTCCTTGGAGTAACGCAAAATCTAACACATCGGGGGCGTGATCGGTGTTATCGGGAAAGTGAGTAACACCGAGAGGACTATGGACGGTAATATCAAGAGACTGCGTGATATCGAGCAGTATCTTGCCACTAGGGGACGTAGTGCGGCATGTCCATTCAGTATGCTTGGAGTTAAAATCTCCAAACATAATGACTGAATTGCCTAAAGATAAAATGGCCTCAAAATGCTTTTTGAGGGGATAGGTTCCTGAAGGGATGTAACAGGAGGCTATGAGGATGGACTGATGTCCAGTCATAGCTAGCCTGCATACCGTGGCTTCCATGTTGGTAAGCTGCGGAGTAGAAATGGGCGAGCAATGAAGTGTCTTCTTGTAATAGATGGCCGTTCCGCCGCCTCGGCGGTCGGGTCTGTCGTTACGAAGAAGAGAGAAGTTTTTAATAGAAAGGCCTCTAGTGTCCTTAGCTTTGAGATTAGTTTCCTGTAGGAGGAGGAAATCGACTTCACGATTCCGAAGAAAGAGCTTGAGCTCTGGGAGGTTATTTCGCAAGCCGCGAATATTAAATGATACAAGCGATAAACCCTTAGGTTTGATACGACCGTGAGATCTAGGTAGGTTAATTCGCTCAGTCATTGAAGTTAAGTTAATTAAGTTAACCTAACTTACAACGCTAACAAAAGGTTATTGTGCTCCGCAAGAACGAGGAGACGTTCTTGGGGGGACTTGGCCGCGCGCAGTTTGCGTGATACTACTGTTATTTCCCTAACATCGATATTCCTAATAGCGGAATATAGCGTGTTGTAGTCGTCGATTGTGGGCTCTGCTTCATGAGCGTACGAGGTTGTCCGCGGTGGGTCTGCCTTTTTGGGCCCCCAGGGAAAGACTGGAGGCTGCATTGGCTTGGAGAAGCCAATGCAGCCTCCAGTCGCTTTGATCGCCTCCCCGAGGTTGATGGCATGATCATACTTGATACCTGCGTCGTAGCAGGTTTTGGATAATTGGGTGAATTTTGCCTTGTCTCTTAGGAAGGCGGGGTAGAGCCATGCTGCAGTATAATAGTAGTATAGTTGTAGCACGAATGTGTTGCGCCCTTCTTTCTGGCAAGGAGGGTCGCGTTCGTATACGGCTTAGAGATCTCTAGTTAGACCGTTAAGCCAGTCCCTAAAAGGTGGGGTTTAGTGGGTAAAAGTCTCCACATAACCACGCAGCCGGCTGCGTGGTATGCTATGAGCATTCCCCACCTCCCTCCCCCGTTTTCCGGAGGGTTGCCCATATTTGCTTCGGGCGCAAAAAAAAAAGCACGAATGGGTCGGCTCGACCGGGGAAGGATCACGCTCTCACAGAATACTGGGGAAAACTGCTGTGTTTCGTATGGTGAGTATAGAGAACCGGAGACCCTTTTTACTGGAAACGAGGCATCATCTTGGTCCTCATGGGTGACAACGTATCTGCATTTTTATTCGTAATAGAGGATAGATGTAGATGTTATTGGGCTACAGCAACCACTTACCACCAGGTGGACTGTGTGCTCGTTTATCACCCTATACTATAAAAATTTATTAAACTTCTGACAAATAATTATGTTTAATTATGGGAAAAAAGGCATGTTACTAGAAGAAAAATGAATCTCTCGCTAAATTATTTTAGATTTGATTTAACGTGAAACATAACTTTAAAAAAATACGGTAAGTTTTTTGAAAATTTGGCAATCCTTAAATTTGTACATGATATCAATATTCGCAATGTTTTTTTATCATATTGCACGTAATTTCATTTATAAATATGCAAATTGATAATCTAAAAGAAATAGTACCTCTGGCGTTTGGTTGGCTGTTCGTATAGGGTGCTAAAATATTATTTATAAAATTAAAATACCTAATTCTTAAAAATTTTAGAGATACTTAAATGTCTGAAAAAATGTTTAATATAACAGAACTGCTAAGAGTTTTCAAAACGTGTGAAAGATAACGTTTCATCTACTACGAAAAAAATGAAAAAGTATTCTTTAGTTTCCTGTTTAAAAAAATTAAAAGCATTTAATTTGTCGTTTTGCTCTATGGCTACATGACGCCAACTTTAAAAAAAATAATGCGGATATAAACTATCAAACAATCTTGAGCTTCTGATCTGAATTATTATTAAATCACATAAATTGTTAACAACTAAACCACCAAACCACCACCAAGAAAAAGAAAAAATGAAACTCAAAATAGTAATAATAGTCCAGAATGTCACATAAACACTTACGTTTTAGAATAAGGTTATTACGCAAGTATATTTATTATTATTAACTTACCTCAGTATCCTTTTGTTACAAATTGTTTGATATCATGTAGAAAGAATGAACGAGGAAAGTATGACAAAGCAAATTTATATGGCAGATGTGAACGGCAGAGTCGGGAAGGGACGCCCTAGAAAAAAGTTTATCGACCAAATTGGCGATATTTTGAAAATGGGCCACGTTAGGAGTACCCTTAACCGACGAGCATGTATGCGTAGATATATGGATGTAAAGGAGGGAAAGAGGTATGTCAGGATCGTGCCAAATGGAAGTCTGTAGTCTCTGCCTACCCCTCTGGGTGACAGGCGTGAGTGTTTATGTATGTATGTAATTATGTTAACAACTGATGACCGGTTCTTCCCAGTTAATAATATTTCAATTGTCAGTAATACCTTGTGGTGTAACTTCTTGACAACCGTCATCTGCATCGCAGAGAGCGTCTTGTTGCGTGAGGGTGAACTGGCAACGTTCAAGATGATCTTGTACCATGCTCTCAATTGCAGGATCCTCTTCTGTCACATTTAGCTCCGGTAGCTCCTGCTTGTTTAAAATGTAATAAAATTCTAATAATATAAGAAAGAATTAAGAAACTCTGTAATAAATAAAAGAACGGAGGCTATTCAATTCGTAGCTGACACCGCAAAGAGAACCGCAATTTTTAAAATAAATATAATTTTAATAATAATAAATGTTTTATTGCTCTCCTGTAATTTTTTCAAAATTGAAGTTCACCCCTTTGCAGCGTCAGCGACGAAGTAAGTAAAATACTGAGTCTGGTACTACCCATGCGGATACAGAATTGGATTAGAAATTAGGTTTATCGAGCATGTACTGTAAATGAATAAAGTTATTATTATGGAGTGTAGAAGTAAGGAGTACAGATTGTGTATTAAAAAGTGTCCATAGAAAACCGTTAAATAAAGGTGGCGCCACTATAACTACGGGTTAAATTTTAAAGAACGCACCGAAAAATATTAGTGGGATAGACGACTTTTTCGAGGTTATATTTACTAAATAAAATTATTTTAGATTTTAGAGCTACTGAGCAGTTTAGCAGCACACTTCAAACCGGCGACAACTGCTAAGTTCATTTCATCCCAGTAGCTACTCCACCGCTGTTGTGGAGAGTTTTCGAACCGTTATTTACTGCTTACAGATGGCCACTTTGTCAACTATTCTACTATGGGAGTTGGTGCTCCTTACTTCTACACTCCATAGTTATTATTTTGTGGTCGCTGCCTTAGAGTAACAACGGGTGAATAGAGGCGACGCCAATTAAAATCTAATTCTTTATCCGCATGAGTAATACAACATTTACATTAATACTCGTAGTTTTAAGTGTTAGAGCCACGCTTATAAGTATTATGACTGTATTTAGATTTTTAATGCAGGATAGGTGGCTATGAGCCGCAGCATCCACTTACCATCAGGTGAACTGTGTTTTTATACCACCTCACTTCTGTAAAAGAATGTTATAAAAATATAATAATCCGGAGTGTGATACCAAGATAAAGAAATTCGTCATCCGGTCAGATGATGCTCCCTTAAGGCTAATTTTCAACACATAGATACTTCCGTGTCTGACTATACACTTGTAATAATATAGTTTCCTATCCTAAGCTTCCCGTTCCTCGCATAATGCAGACGCAGAACATGAGTAGACTTAGTTGGTTCTCGCGGGGTTTTTTATTTATATTATAGGCGTAGTATGGTTTCTATTCGGCTACAAATGATCGGTGGTCTTAACTTCTAGGGGACGCAGCATCGACTTGATCTTTTACCATTAGTTTAGCCTAAGGAATTTCTAGAAAAAATTCAATGACAAAAAAGTTAAAAAATTACGCCACAGGTGGTCCGTTGGAGCTGCTCCTGTCATAAATATCTTTTACATAAGTAATGTCGATAAATAAGCATACTGTTCATGTATGGGTGGTAAGTAGTGGATTCTGTGGTCCTTAGGACTTAAACCCACCCGCAATTAAAAATAAAAAGCAGGTACGGTTTCACCCTCGAGAACTAAGATAGAATGCATCGTTTAAAGTCAAAAGAGTCTCCAAACAACACAATGTCACACAAAATACTATTTTAAGTGATCGAGCCGTGGTAGCTCAGGGGCTTAGCGTTCGCTGTAAACTTCACAGTTCGAGCAATCCGGGTTCGATCCCCGGCGGCACCAAGGAAATATATAATTACAATTTTAAGTGCTGATTTTCCACGTGATCAGCGGTAAAGGAAAACATCGTGAGAAAACCTGCATGTTTGAGAAATAAAAAATATTCAAAAGACATGTGAAGTCCGCCAACACGCATTAGGGCAGCACAGCGGACACTTCCTCGCCGAAATTACCCTTTCAGAAGTGAGAAGAGGCCTGTTCCCAGCTGTGGGACGTATATAAACTGTGACTTTACTTTACTATTTTGAGTGAACATCGTCTTCCCCGGTCGATCTGACCCATTCATGTCGTAGACTTAATACACAACTGCGTCATGGCTCTACCTCGTCCGATGTCCAGAAGCTGTACAATCGGTTGCAGCCACCTTTATCAGGTGGACTGTAAGCTTATTTGCAACCACAATTTTATAAGGAAAGAAAGGACTTGTAAGTGGACTTCAAAACAAAGTTGAACAAAATATCGTATTTATGACACAATTTTAACGCTTGGGAATTAATACTTCTTAAAATTATATGTGCTCGGGAAAAAAATACACGCATACATAAAATGCTGAAATAAATACTTTATATTTTTAAATGCTTAGCATTAATGTAGATAGAAAATTATAATTTTATCGCCGGGAAAATACTTGGAAATTCGAGTTAGAGTTTTTTATCCCTTTTCCACTGTATAAATTTTTATAATATATATGATTTAATAATATAATAATAATTTATTAATAATTAAATATAATATATTTTATTTGTCCATGCATGACCGTGTAGTGGCGGTAGTAGTAAGAATATCCACTACCCCATATCATCCCGTGGGTGTCGTAAGAGGCGACAGATGGAAACAGAATTAGGAGATGGGCAGCAGAATATTCCTTATAACGGCTAAAATAAAAAAACACGTTTGTCAACCATGGCAACTATGGCAAATATCCTCCCTATGAAGCAATCTATGGAGGAGGCTTACGTTCAGCAGTGGCCTTTAATAAGCTGTAACAGTAACGGCAAGGTGCTGATGAAAGGAGAGAGTGGACTGACCAAATGCTGCAGTTGCGCGAAGCGTTGGTTCCACAGGTGCAGCAGATGTCGCGTGAGGAGCGGCTGCAGGCGTGCTTCCGGCGCCACCAGCAGGCGGCCGCGCAGCCGCCGCCCGCGCCCGCAGCGCGCCGAGCACGGCGACCACTCGCCCCACTCACTCACCGGGCACTCCGAGCTCGGATTATCCTGTTATCGCCGTCCGCAAAAAGATTTTTTTATAGAATAAGGGTGACAAACGAGCTTACAGACCACATGATGGTAATTGGTTGCTGTGGACTATAGACATCTACATTTATCCTCGATTACAAATCAAAATGCAGATGAGTTGTCATCCGTAAGGACTAAGATGGAATGCCACGTTTCCAGTAAAAAGGGTTTCACGGTTCTCTACACTCACCATACCAAGCACAGCAGCGTTAATCTGCTATTTTAAGCTGGTATTCTGTGAGAGCGTGGTCCTTCCCCGCTCCAGCCGACCCATTTGTATTACAACTATACCAGTAATATAGCCGCAACGTGACTCTACCACGTAAATATGTTAATGTTATAAGGTTACTACACGTTTTTCCAATTCTTTAGTATCTCGGCTTAAGACGGCTGCGCACGGACACAAAAATCAAGCCGAAACTATGCTCAACTTCTGCAAATCTTTATAGGTGTTTAAACCATGCTGCAGCTATATTATATAGTTGTAGCATGAAAGAGTCGGCTCGACAGGAGAAGGACCGCACTCTCACAAAATACCAGCATAAAATAGCAGCTGAATGCTGCTGTGTTTTCTATGGTGAGTGTTGAGTACCGTAGACCCTGTTTACTGGATACGACGCATTCCATCTTATTCCTCGAGGGAGGGGGATGGGACACGCACCTGCATTTTGTTTCTTAATTGAGGATAGATATAAATGTCTATGGAACACAGCATCCACCCACATCAAGTGGTCTGTGTAGGTACTCCATTATCACCCTTATTCTATAAAAAAAAAACTTATTGTAAAAATACGCACTCACGTACACATGTCCATCTAAAATCATTTGCAACTATAACAACGTAGTTTTCGCGGTATATGTTTGCGTCCAGAAGTGAACGTTTACTGCCTGGTATAGATAGCAGAAAGAAAATGTGTCAAGAAGTTGAGCTCATTGATTTTGGTTTCATTTGACATGTAAACAGCGCTCCGAGCGCTCCCTCTATTTTATTTATCTAGGTCTGAGGTCCATCAAGTGACAAATAAAACTATGAAGTAAGCTAATTAATAAAATGCTTATAATTTTCGACGACGGCTTCGTGGCGCAGTGGCCTATCAATGAGTTAAAGCGCTAAGGGCCGCGGGTTCGAATCCCGCACGGAACAAGTAGGCCTACAAGTAATTGTTCCGGGTCTGAATGTTTGTCTTTGTAAAATTTATGTTTGTAAACTGCTTCCACGATATAGAAGAAAATCCTAGAGTGGAGGTAACTTGTTTAAAAAAATAATTAAACAATTGACTACTAGGACAGCATATTTTATTTTACTATGACGGGCATGTTTTACATGTAGTGTAGAGAGATACACAGTTACATTTTTTATTATGCGTAAGCTCGAGGGTCAAAAAATAATATCGAGTATCGTCAGAACAGAACTAATATTCCTTACTTATATCCCAACACATTATAAACACATACATGTCACCTAGAACAGCGAAGACACAACAAAACGGTATAGGAATATTTTTAATAATATTGGCCAATTAAAAAAGTACTGGCCTTTTTGAAATGTTTTTAATTAAAAAAATCTTCATTTATTAACCAACTTCAAAAAGGAAGAGGTTCTCAATTCGTGCGTATGTTTTTTTTGGTTACTTTTTTGCGTTACGCGATGTCTTCGTAGATTTTGAACTGATTACGATAATTCTTTTTTTTATTAAATAGGCTTTACCAGAAGGGTATTCCCATTAAATATTAAAGCAAAAATCGGGCTCCCAAGGGTGAAGAATAGGGTAAAAAGTTTCATACTTCAGTATTGTTTTAAGAATTTCGTTTGATATCTTCGCAAATTAAGAACCGAATTTAATGATTCTTTTTTTAATAGGTTATACTTTAAGGGTGCTCCCATATACATTTTGAGAAAATATTCCACCCATAAAGGTTGCAAATAAATTACTTTTTTAGCAATTTGAAGTCAGTTTTTATGTTTTGTTGAAAGTTATAAATATTCCAGATTAATTCCAAATTTAAATATAAGAAAAAATAAAATGTTTTGAAGGTAAAAATTGAGTAGAATTAGAGGGAGCGCATTTTGTACTCAAAGTACTTAATTGTTTTTTTTTTATTGAAAACCGCTGTATAAACATCTTTTTGATTCAGCTTGGGTTGAATGTGATAATTTGACATATTATTACAATGAAACGTCGACATTTAACTGGAGAAGAGATGTCAAGAGCAGTGGGATACTGCAAGCTGGTGCTTTCCAACGTGACGTCGCTACGACAATAAGCACAAGACAAAATGTGATTTTAGACATCTAAGACGAAGCCGTATTACTACACCCAGACAAGATTGCTTTTTGCCAATCGCTGGAAGGAACCAAATGTTACGGCGATGCAATTGGTCCAAAGGCCACCCAAAGACAATTTCACCCTCTTAGGGGTTGAATTTTCTTAAAACCTTTCTTAGTGGACGCCAGTGTCATAAAAGACAGCAACTGTCCAATTATCAGATTTCTACATCGAGCAGTTTGAGTTGTGCGTTGATATATAAGAGAAGAACTCAGGACATTCATTCCCTTTTATATATAGAGATACTTACTGAAGTAAAACTTCTTTACGCACGATTGACTTAGGGAGTAAGCTGGCGAACGCGTGATGAAAGCGTAACGAAAACTGTTATCGGGTGAGGCGAACGTGAGTTGAGTGGGGGATATAAGCAAATTTTCTTTCTCTATTTCTCTCATAGTCAGTTATTTTTCGTAATTTTATTTTGTTTTGAACAATTTTATGAATTAATATTTTGTCAATACATTAAATATTCTACGTTTAAAGTGAATAAAATTGTAAATTCATTCTAAAGTTTATGTTTTGTGAATTTTCGGGTGAATAGTAACAAATTATGGAAGGAAGCCGATGATAAATTTAAATATTTGTAGAAAATTAATCTTTATATAAATTACGTGTCACGTTGTTTGTCCCCGATGGACTCCTAAACTACTTAACCGATTTCAGTCAAATTTGCACACCGTGTGCAGTTTGTTCCAAATTGAGAGATAGTGTAGTTTTTTGTCCATGAGTGACCCACATTTTTTTTGCGAATTTAAGGATTTTTAATAGGACATGACAAAGGGTCGTCGAAAAGGGCAGAACAACGTCTGCCTGGCAAGCTAGTATATATATTATATACAATATATAAAAGTATATACATACACGTATATATTATACACATATGCTTATATAAAAATATCTAAAGAAGTTTTACTTCAGTTCTCTGGTCATAAGCACACTCGTTTTTTTGTATATTTAATTTTTAAAGTGCTTTCATTATTTTATATAGAATTGGGTAACAAGCACACAGTCCACCTCATGGTAACTGACACCAGGTGCTTGTGAGTGACCAAATTATAAGAAGGACACTTCACAAAGCCAACCTTCATGCTCGTAGACCACTTGGGGTTCCAGCTATAAGAACAGCAAATCGTGGACGAAGACTGCAACGGGCTAGAGAATATGTGGACTGGGAACCTCATGAATGGGCATTGGTGCTTTTCACCGATGAATGCCGATTTGGTTTTCATCCTGATTCGAGGAGAGTACATGTTTAGAGAGTCCCTGGTCGTACAAGTGGTCCTGGTGAAAAAAGGAAATTCCAACATTACGGTGTAATAAGGAATGCTCTTAAATTTATTCATATTTAGTAATTCTTGAGGTTTTTTCTTCTATATATTAATGACATACCTTACATAGTAGAGGATAACCACTATATAGTATTACTTGCTGATGATACTTCGTCAATTACCAAATTATTACGAAGTAAATATTACTATATTTTAATTAGATGTTTTTAAATAAAAAAGGCACTAAGACTAAATGTAGAAAATTCATAACACCAAATATCAAACATCTAAATACTAATGTAATTTTAAATGGGAGGAGCTAAGTCTTGTGATACCACCATTTTTCTTGGATAATTCCAATTCCACTAGACGCGAAGCTTCACTGGGGCCTTCTTATATCAAAACTAGCAATTAGACTTAGTTCACCAGAATATGCTGTAAAAAAGATTAAGAAGCTTACCATTGTTGAAACAACTAGACTATTTTTTTTTGTTAAGCTGAAATTCTATTTGTTTTTCAGAAGAAGACCATAGGAGCTCTATGATTTAAAACCTAAAAGAAAGAAGGAAATTACTACCTATCTACTTCTTTGACCTCTCAATATATTTACAAAATGTAATGTATGTACACAACAAAAAAATTAGTTTAAAAAATTTATGTAAATTTATAATATTAAGGAATTTATGGATGATAATAACCCCGGAAGGGTGATCGCTACCAAGCTATTTCTTATTTGTTGCGTGTTGTTAAGTGTAACATGCATGATCGTAAGCGGTTTTTATTTAAACGTCCCGCTTGGTTTATTGCTGGTTCTTCCCAGGACAGAGGTTTTTTTCCGAGCCTGTGGTAAATTAAACAAAAGAGTGAAGTATTATTTATTATCTATATTGAATAAAAAGTTTCAGTTTCTGTACAAGTCGGCTTTAATATCTTGAAGTTCATCCATACCAAGGTAGTACAATTTATGGTGTGAGCAGGCATTTATTTTGGTAGAAGAACGGACCTCGTTTGGAAAAAGACACTATGACGGCTGAAAAATACCGTAATGAGGTGCTAAAAGTCATGTTGTCCTCACATCGAAGGTAAATACACGACAATGTCAAAGTTTCCTGTTTATGCACGACTATGCCCATTCACATACGACCAGGATCGTAACAGCCTGGTCGCACGAGTATAATGTCACAGCCCGAGAATGGCCAGCGCAATCCCCAGATTTAAATCGCAATGGATATGCTTGGGACATGCTCTAAAGAATAGCTTTCAGGGATTTTCCTGAAAATCTGATTACTGGAGAACAACTTTTTAAGAACCTCAGTAAGACCTAGAACAATATTCTTCAACAGAATATTGACAATCTCATCCTGAGTATGCCCAACCAATGGAGATGCGCTATGAATGTCATGGGTGCTTTTACTATTAACTTTTAATTAATAGCCACCATTAAAAGGTTTTTACTTCTCTTTATTTTTAATTTAAACAAAACATTGAACTTTCACGATGTACGGTTTTCACACTTCCGTTTTTTATTTCATATATGTCTTAAGAAAACATTGACATAGTCTTTGGAATTCGTGTGTTCTTAAAATATCCCTATACTATGTTGAAGTGTTAAGTAGATAATAAACAAGTAACCTACCACAAAAAACCAGTCGAAGTTTGTTGCGTTTACTAGATCTCCGGTAGGTCTGCAATTGAATGTTAATTGTAAATCGTAAAGAAATATAAAAAAATATAAGTGACAGGAAGCTAGAATAAAACACATCTTATAGAGGCTGAGTTCCAAAATGTTCTCAGTATTCTGGCGAATGCAAATGACGTCATCAATTGACGCCATATTGTACTGGCATGCCGCGCCATATTGTGTCGGATATCCCGCCATATTAAAACAATTTTTAATTGTGTGTACGCTAATAAAGCATGGTTTTTATTTATTCAAATAAAAAAAATAGAATTATTGCTCCATTCTTCACAAATTAATTGAAACAGGATATAACAACAATGAAGCACAAAATGACAAAATAATCGCCAACACTTTTATGGCGCAATTGTATGATGTCGTATTATACTGGCCAATGTTTTGAAACGAATCACCAGTATGGAGTCGATTTATGACGTCATCTGCATTGGACAATAAACGCGGTTCTATAATTTCGGAACACACCCAGAATATGAGGCTTTCGCCCCGGCGGTTTTACCATGGTAAAATTATAATGTCCAGACAATGATGAACTAAGTTTTACATAGGCTTATGAAACCGCTCTTACAATCTTTCTCCTCTTAAAAACAGTAATTTTTCACAAAACATTTTATAAAAAACAACGTCTTGCAAACTTTTAACACCCTATTTAGCCCTTTGGGGATTTGATTTTACAAAATCCTTTCTAATTGGATGCTTTCTTAAAATAAAATTAGGACACACAATGGCCACCCCATTAGTGGTTATTTTAAAAATTGTAAAATACGTATTAATTTATTTTATTCATAGAATACTTTGAGTAAGTTTCGTGTCTATCTCCCCGTAAAATAAAAAGTTTCATACAAACTATAGCACCCTATTTCAACCTCTTAGGGGTCAAATTTCCTAATGTCCTAAATTCCTCCTTAGTGGATTCTAGCGTCATAAAAGACAGCAGCTGTCCAATTATCAGATTTCTACATCGAACAGTTTGAGTTGTGCGTTGATAGATGAGACAGACACTCAGGATATTCATTATCTTTTATATATAGAGATAGATAGGTATTATTTTTATATATGTATTTAATTTTTGAAGCGTTTTAACTTCTTATATAGACTTGGGTAAGAAACAAACACATGACACAGTCCACCTGATGGTAAGTGGATACTGTGGCCTATAGACATATGTACATTTATCCTCGATTAAGAATCAAAACGCAGATCCGTTGTCACTACTGAGAACTACGATGGAATGCCTTGTTTCCAATATAAAAGGGTCTCTGGTTCTCTACACTCACCTTACGAAACATAACAGCATTAAGCTGCTATTTTACGGTGATATTCTGTAAAATTCTGTGTAGTGACCCATTAGTACTACAACATTTAATATAGCTGCAGCGTGGCTCTACCATCTCTTGTCAGTTAGATTAGTCTCTATCCCTCCATTAATAACATCATTTAAAGTCCATTGATGAACATGTGCCGCTCTATAGATTGCCTAATAGGTACCTAATTTTAACATAGTTGCCACGTTTTGCATTTGAAAGTGGCTGTAAAACTATTTCTATGAGTATAAGCTATTTCGCACTACATCCGGACTCCGTTACAAAAATAAAGAGAGATATTCTCGACTTCGTGTACTTCTTTTACACGAAGTGGGGAATATCTCTATTACGGATTAGGTACCTATACTAGTACTGCTTGCGCCATTACGTGAGTGGTAGTCTTCGATCAACAATACCAACTAGATAACGGGTCACGTACAAAATCATAGCTAAATACTGTCCGCATGAATATAAACTATGAAATGACATAAATTAAATAACATTTAGTGTGAAATCAACCTTAAGTTATAACAAATAAAGTTCTTTTTCCCGTTATTGCCTTGCGAGCTACACACTCACGTGCAAGAGCTCACGTCTCATGTGCGCTCTTATTTACTGAGATGGATTTCTTGCGCCGACCCGACATCTAGTTGGTATTGTTGATCGAAGATGGTAGTAGTGTATCCAGCAGTGGTGAATCATTTTTCTTTTTTATGTAGGTTTCTCGGATTTGACTCTGAGTGCACGACTGTGCACTGTGACTTTCGAATTCAGTTCGAGTTTTCTAAATATTGTGTTTACTCGGATTTGGATCGGAAGCAGTGCGTACACGCTCAAGCAAAGAGCATAATTTATCGTGAGAGACTGACTTGTAGCAAGGTCCACTGTCGCATGGTATAGCTTGGCTCATGACGGTGCGGGCGCGGAAGCCAACGTGGCAGCGCTTGCGCGCGCGCGGCACCAGGTAGTGGCGCGTGCGCGCGCGCACGCCGCATCCCTCGCACGGCGACCACTCGCTCCACTGCGACACCGCACACGGCCCGTGCGCGTCCGCCGGCTCCGGCTCATACTCCGACTTTACTCTGTTATATTTTTAGCCGTTTAAAAAAAAGGAGATTCTATATTCTAAGTGTATGGCGTTTTTGTATGCTCACCGATTTATAGGAAACAGCTGAAACGAATTAAATGATTCTTACTTACTATTTTAGGGGTGGTCGAGATTTAAATAGGAAAAAAATTTTTCCCGTGTAAGAGGAAATGTAGCGGATAGCCTTAAGCTTGTGAAATTGCTTAGTCCATTGACAGATGCAAAAAAATAATCTTAAAAATCTTATAGTTTTGTGGCCATGGAAGGAAAAGAGGAGATATCCCGCCGGGCAAGGTGTTGTGCCCGGAGAGCGGCCAACGCTCCGTGTGATAGTTCGGAGATGTTCTATATATACTGTTTATAATTCAGAATTTTTGATAGCGTGATTTAGGCTTCGGTGTGTTTCGCTTGCGGCGCGACCACAGCGCCGCCACAATTTCTTTTATTTACGCGAATACTACACATTAAATAAAACTAGTTTTAAGGATTTTATTTGAACTTTTTAATTCTCGACGTTTCGGGCGCTTTACATCACCCATGGTCACTGTGATGTTTGACGTTTTGTGGTAGTTAACGAAGGTTAAAAACCTGCAATGCGCCCTGGGTCCGTGGCAGCGGCGATAGTCGGTGAGCGTAGCGCGACAGCCGTCGGCAAAGGCGCGCGCCGGCCACACGTAGTAGCGTTGGCGCACGGCGCGGCCCGTTCCGCAGGTGGCGCTGCACGCGCCCCACGCGCCCCACGCCTGCGTCGCACACGACCCGTCACCCCCGTCGCCCGCCTCCACCGGCCGCCCCCCGCCCGCTTCTACGAGTACATCGTAACACATTTATTATTAAGTCTGATTAGTCTAGTGGTTGTAGTAGTGCGACTGCTGATCATGAGGTCCTGGGTTCAAATCCCAGATCGGGCCAAAAAAAATCAGTTATTGAGTTTTTCCGTCAAGAAATTTATTTACAATATAATTTTTATACAATTCAAGTATGAAAACATGAATTTCATCAGTCATGCCCTCTTTATTACCCCTCATTAAACAATATTTGCTTAATAAACATTATAAACTTTTAATAGATAGATCCTGCATATTTTTCCCCTTGAAGGCATTACTGGCTCTTTGAAGTTGATATAACTAGCTTGTGCTTGTTCCCAGTATTTACAGAATGTTTTATTTTTTATAGCATTGGGTTAAATTTATTAAATTTATCCTCAACTAAGTACCAAAATGCAAATGCGTTGTCATCCCTGAGGACTAAGATAGAATGCCTCGATTCCAGTAAAAAGGATCTCCGGTTCTCTACACTCACTATACGAAACACAGCAGCATTACGCTGCTATTTTACGCCCGTATCATGTGAAAGCGTGATCCCGCCCCGGTCGAGCCGACCCATTCACGCCACAACTATAATATAGCTGCAGCGTGGGTCTACCACGTAAATATATACAAGAATTGCTCGTTTAAAGGTATAGAATATATATATATATACAGGGTGTCCGGTTTCCGATGTCCAATACTTTAAGGGGTTAAAATACAATTAATTTTATCGACAAATCAGGGATCAATGATTTTTTTTTCGCCATCAATAAAAAAATGGCAGCACTTTAAAAAAAATTGTTGGCGAAGCATAGATGCTTGTATTAATTTAACAATATCTACCCAAGTAGAAGACTTTCAAAAACAAAATTGATCTCAAATGTTAGTTAATAGTGTAGACAATAAATCTAAATTCAAAATATTATTTTTTAATTTTTCAGTATTAGTAAAAAACATTTTTGAAAAAATAAATTAGACAACAAATTAATGTTGTTTTTCAGATTCTTAGCTTTAAAAAAAACCATCGTGTTAACCAATTTTTTTTACTTGTTTTCATTATAATACAGGATATTTGCTATAAATGCACATTTAAATCTTAACTCTTAGTTAGATAGTTTAGGAGCTATGATAATTTGAATGTAACTATTCAAAGTGCCTCTACCCCGATATTAGATAACTAAACACCCATTCAGGTGAGTAAGATAAAATTCTTCAATAATTCAAGGAATCGTAAGCAAGCACAATAGCATCCTTTGTGTGAGCAGGTAAAAAACGCTGTGCACAACAGTGCGAGCGAGACAGAATAACGGCTGTCTCCAGGTAAAAAAGGGTGCAGTGTGCGCTTGTGCCGTCGAGCAGTCGTCCCTCGCTCTGCGTTGTGATAACATTCCTGGTTTTAAGTAAATCTACTTACTGTACATAATTATTGTTTGTTGTTAGACTTTGTTACGTTTTTGTTTTATTGTTGAACTGTTACTTTTTGTTTATTACAATGAACGAGTACTCAAGCCAGCATATCGCTGACATCCATTTCGTGTATGGATTATGTAAAAAAAATCATTAATCCCTGATTTGTCGATAAAATTAATTGTATTTTAACCCCTTAAAGTATCGGACATCGGAAACCGGACACATTGTATATATATATATATATATATATATATATATATATATATATATATATATGTATATGTATATATAAATGTACATCAATATTATTAATAAAACTATTTTTTGTGTAAATACATTAAATTTTCATAAAAACAAATATACTAATAGTTAATATATTTTTTTTTAATTTTCTCCAAGGCATTTCTCCGGACCGGCCGGATCGGACCGAAACGATACGTGAGCGAAATTTCATCGAAATCGAACCATGATCAGATAATATAATTGTAACTTAAATATTCTAAGGCTATTTACATATTATTACGTCATTTATTTGTCACGTTAATTTTCTTTAAATACCTGTCGGTTCGCAGCTCTTTTCGTAAAGACGCAAGCGCGAAAGCCTTAAGCGCGCGAAGGGCCTCATCTCTCCGACGGTATTAAAAAAAGGTGAACGTGGGTCTTCTGGCCAGTCAGGCCGCAGCGCTCGCACTGGAGACGGCGGAGAGGTGGGCTCTCGCCGTGACTATTAACATGAAAGTAACGTTAAAAGAAACCGTATAGTGACAGGTAAGAAAACTTACTACCCCATCATCATCATCCCGGCCACGGAATATTAAATGCCGTCAGTGTCGTATGAGGCGATAGCCGAAAACTAAAACAGTAGATGGGCAGCGGCGTTTTCCTGATAAGAACTAATAATTAAAAAACTGCGTCTACCATCCCCAAGGGCCAAGCGTGACAACTATGGCAAAAATCTCCTATATGAAGCAACTTGTAGAGCCGTCTGTGTTCAGCAGTAAATTAGAATAGGCTGTAGTGAACAAAACAATGCCTAGTTATAAACATAAACATAAAAATAAACACTCACGCCTGTCACCCAGAGGGGTAGGCAGAGACTACAGACTTCCATTTAGCACGATACCTTTCTCGCCTCTTCCACATCCATATACCATACGCATACATGCTCGTCGGTTAAGGGTACTCTTAATTTGGCCCATTTTTAGTATATCGCCAATTTGGTCGACAAACTTCCGCCTAGGACGTCCCTTTCCGACTCTTCTATTCACTTCTGCAATATATATTTGCTGTCAGTCTTTCCGCATTCATTCTTTCTACATGACCAAACCACAGAAGCATTCCTTTCTTAATCCTGGTCACCGCATCATCTTGCAAACCACACTCTTCTTTTATCATACAGTTTCTCACCCTGTCACTCAGATTCAGCCCTAACATACTCCTTAGCGACCGCATTTCTACTGCATTTATTCTACTCTCGTGCTTCTTCTGCCACACCCAACTTTCACTACCATACGTTAAAGTAGGGACTAATACAGCATTGTGAATTCCCATACGTGCCTTTTTTGACACATTCTAACTTAATGATTTCTTAAATTTACGCGAACACTACACATTGAATAAAACTATTATTTACGGATTTTATCGCGTTTAATTACTTTAATTTATTTTTTATTATTATCCCGACGATCTCACCATCATCCTTCACAGTTAACTACCGTGGGTAAATCTTTGTTTCAGAGAGCACGAGGGATCTGTGACAGAAAACATCTGGCCGCGGAGCTTCAGCACGTCAAGCAAGTATTGCAAGACAACAAGCTTCGGGTCCCGCGCCTACGTCACAGTGAACGAGTGAAGCCGGCCACAGTCGAGCGCGCGCCTGCTCTACTACCATATGTCAGAGGATTCACGGACAAGATTGGCCACATCTTGAAGCGAGCGTCCATTAAGACATACTACAAGCCGCTGAAGAAGATTAGTCAATTTTTACCATCCATCAAATGTCCATATTCCTCTACAAGATGCAGGTGTGTACAAGCTAGATTGTGAATGTGGTCTCTCTTACATAGGTCAAACAAAGAGATCTATAAAAACCCGCGTGAAGGAACATATAGCTGATGTGAAGCACCGACGCTCCGGGAAGTCTGCAGTCTGCGAACATGTTCAAGATCGTCCCCACCATTACATTAGATTTGATAAACCACAAATTCTCGCAAAAGAACACCGATTCCTACCAAGGATGATACGCGAGGCTATTGAAATTAAAAAACATCCAAATTTCAATAGAGAAGATGGTTGGGTGCTACCATCTGCTTGGGATCCTATAATTAACAAAATTAAACCTAAACCGAACCATACCACTGCAAGACTTCATGATACTATAAGCTCGTTTTGCGTAAATCGGACCAAGAATTAATATTAAAAAAAAACTGAAGGTAGCCGAACTAACTATGACATTGGGACGTCAAACATCTCAGTCCCCCCCCACCCGTGACCATGGGCGCTGTAAAGCACCCGAAACGTCGGGATAATAATAAAAATAAATTAAAGTAATTAAACGCGATAAAATCCGTAAATAATAGTTTTATTCATCATTCTGACTTTTCACAATAGAGTGTAGAGCCCCATTTACTTTATTTCCTGCATTCACTTGTCGTTCAATGTCCTTATTATATCTCCCATCCCTGCTCAATACACATCCCAAATATACGAACTCATCCACTTGCTCAATTAACTCTCCTTCTATTCTTATTTCACATACCGTTTTGCTTTCTTCTCTTTCAAAAACCATCACTTTCGTCTTACTTGCATTCACTTTCATTCCCCTTTCTTTTAATGACCTGTTCATTAATGTAACCATCATTTGCAACTCGGCCGCCGACGACGCAAGTATGACTTGATCATCGGCGTACAAAAGGCATTTGATGTATGATGTATGATGCCTAGTTATAAGTAATATGAATAAAAGTAATAATTCATTTCGTGTTCGCGTTGGGTAAGAGATTTATTTACCATCCTTATCTAATCTTAATCTCGTCATCTGCAATCTATATCTGACGGTTAACAGCCTACGACTGATCAAAAGCCTTATACTAGTTTAAAGCCTTCTCGATAATAATGTTTTCGTTTGACAGAAGAATTAATCATCCCAGAACCAACATGTCACACGTTAAAGTTCACACTGGATGGTTAATCATCGAAATTGCGTCTGTATAATATACATTTATATCAAGTAATATTATAACTAAATTATGTTCGAATACCTAACAGGTTAACAGGATTCCTTTAAAATGGTTTTAATTAATTTTGCCCTATTCATAATTATCATACCACCTCACAAATCCACTGATGAACATAGTTCTCTCCCAAGATACCTTGAGAGAGATGCACAAAGCCAGTCCTGAGCCTCCTGCATCCATTCATTTCTTGCATGTCTTACTGGAGCGTCGCTAGCTTACGGGTAACAATAATGACACTATGGAACCTTTCTTACCCATCGGTTGACGGTTCGTAGAGTTATATGGCTGACGCATTGCAAATTTAGCTTAGCTTGCTGCTTCGTTAGGCTATGTCACTTACACTGAATCATACGTTACTGGATCATATAGAGAAATTCCGAGCATAGTCCTCGTCAAAAAAAAACGTAGGTTCGAATCCGCCATTAGACATTCGACTACTGTTGAAAACCGCTCCCAAAACAAATTATGTGTAAAGCATTGCTCATCTTCTTTCAAAAATATCAGACACAACTTTATCACTGTTTTATTTTATCGAAAAAGCCTATAAATGTATATAATATAAAAAAGCGTTCGAAATTAAATGAATAAGTTTAAACGTTGCCCATACTGAGGATCCAAATACCTACCGTTGCACGTCGTAGTTGTGCACAAGTGAACAAAAAAAGAACAGGAAAAATAAACGTGGATGAGTTTCCTGCAATCTAGCTTAAAGGTTGAATTAAAAATCATGTTTAAACTTTTACCGTGTAGCTAATACCACTATCAGTCCCTGCATCGTACGGATACAATGGCAGCGTAGCAGATCTCGTCCATGTGCAGTTAGGATTACATAATTCTAGCGCTGACACCCCAACTATCCAATCTGGAGAAGGTGCTAACTTGGCTGCCAAAGACATCAAGTGGTGCTTCGCATCTGCTCGGAATACTGCAAAAGTACTGGGTATCCCGCCTGCAGCGACTTGTTGCCATGATATACCACGCGCTTTAATTATCGTCCGAATGTGATCACTCTGCCAACAAACATAAAGTCATATTATAATGATATGAACATGGTTATAAGAAAATTTATGAATTAGTTATTTAAGAATGTTGCCTTTTATATGTGATATATACTAAAACAAGTGGTAAAATTAAAAATTTTGTACAACTGACTTCAAATTAAATAATATGAGAACATCATAAATGCATTCGAAGTCAATTAAATACGCCTTGTTAAGGATTACTTAAAAACTACTGGTCAGATCGTGATCAAATTTATATGGAACCACATGAAAAGCACCAGCTATCAAATAAATAAGAATCATTAAAATCGGTTCACTTAGAAGAAAGTTCTCACATAAAAAAACATACAGTCGAATTAAGTAACTCATCCTTTTTGAATTCGGTTAAAAATAGGTTATCTGGATGAAAAAAGTAAACCATTTTAATTCATTTACGTGACAAGACAACCCTAGCGGTCAGTTCCAGAGCGACTAACGGCCGCTCCAGAGTACTGCAACGACGACCTCGTTACAGAGTTAATAAATCTCAAAAGAAGCACAGGGGCCAGAGTAATCATTTGCTCAGCCTATCTTCCCGAAGGGAACTCAGATCATGCCATCAAGTTAGAGCGAGTGGCGGAGTTCGCCCGAAAACACAACGCAGAACTTGTGGTGGGTTGTGATGCTAATGCTCAACACACAGCCCGGGGAAGCACTAACATCAATGAAAGAGGTGAGTTACTTTATGACGTTGTCTTCTCCAATCCCCTGATAAGTCTAAACGTAGGGTGTACACCTTTGTAACGCGTGTTAGGCAAGAAGTGTTAGATATAACCTCTGCTACTAATTATATATCCAGTCGGATAACTGTCGAGCATGTTATTTTTTATAAGATAGGGTGACAAACGAGCACACATTCCACCTAATGTTAAGTGGTTGCAGTGGCCCATAGACATCTACATCAATCCTCAATTACGAATCAGAATCCAGATGCGTTGTCACCCGTGAGGACTAAGATGGAATGCCTCGTTTCCAGCAAAAAGGGTCTCCGGTTCTCTACACTCACCATACGAAACACAGCAGCATTAAGCTACTATTTTACGCTGGTATTATGTTGGTAGTGAAAACTCTCGTTGGTGATGCTCTAATCACAAACACATTAAGTTTGTGATTAGAGCATCATCAACTTATGAAACTGTTGCATTTAGGAATCTAAAGGCGGTATCCTGGGATATCTATAGAGACAGTCTAAGGAGTAATTTAGAAACGTTTCCTAAAAGCATCAAAACGATTGTAGGTCTGAAGTTAGCGACGGAGACTGAAACCGCAGGTATATGTGAAGCGTTCGAGTTGCACTAACACTACGCTTGTAGATACGTAACTACCAATCAAAAACTTTTTTGCCTGAACGTTCGACGATTATTGGAGCTAAAACTAGTATCATTTTGATTTTCTGCAACGGAATAGAGAAACAGAGGAATAGAGAATAGAAGCTTAAGTAACTAAGTACTTACCACCTAGCGTTTTTGTCACTCACGTATATACTGACCTCTTCCTTTAGCTCCTTTTCAAGTGCAGTAGTAGCCCCGTCATCAGCTAAACGCCTGAGTCCAGCACTAGCAACCCTTCCCTCCTGCCACACTCTGTACTGAGCTGTATGCGAAGCACCAATGACGTCACCGAAATGGGCTCGTGCCGACTCCGGTGGAAACTCCCGCGGATGAGTGTTACGAGACCAGAGCCCCTCAAAAGTCACCTTTATGCAAATAACGCAATTAATGTAACTATAGTTGTAATACACGTTTTTAAAGAAAAACTAAAAAGTAGCTGCGGACTACAATTTCTATCAACTGGATTCAGCCAATTTCTAATTATTGAAATGGTTTTAATCCAGTGCTGGTTGACGCAATTGAAATAATCTCAAATTTTTTTGGCATGGTAAAAGCTTAGGAGCTTAAGTATATATTTATTTTTATAGTTTCATTTTTGGTGGTATTATATTTATATATATATATATATATATATATATATATATATATATATATATATAAATATATATATACCCGGTATATATATATATATATATATAATATATATATATATATATACCGGGTTTATATATATATATATATATATATATATATATATATATATATATATATATACCGGGTGCTTCAAAAAAATGTATACACACTTTGAACTTCCATAGAAAATTTATTTACCGTTCTACAAAGTTAAATTTCAGGAAAATAGAAAGCTGAAAGTCCAATGTAAATGAAACATAAATAACAAATGTTAATACTGTTGAAATTGGTGACCTGCAGCATCAATACAATTCTGAGTACGAGTCACCACAGATTCTGTACATCGTATCAAAACGTCCAATGAGATTTCTCTACACACTGCTTGAATCTCATTCCAAAGAATGTCTAGGTTACGTGGTTTACGTTTGTACACCACATCTTTTACTGTGCCCCACAAGAAGAAATCCAGTGGTGTAAGGTCTGGAGAGCGTGCTGGAAACTCGATTGGCCCCCCTGCGTCCTATCCACTGGCCCGACAAATTTTGATCCAGGTAAGCTCGTACGTCCCTGTGATAGTGCGGCGGAGCACCATCTTGTTGAAAATAAAAATCATCATTACCGTATAATGCACGAATGGCAGGAAATATGGAATCAGCAAGCATTGTTAGGTAATTAATACCAGTTACAGTGCCTTCAAATCGAAAAGGTCCAATGAGTCCCCTTGAAGACAAACCGCACCACACATTTATACCAGGCAAATTTACAGCTTTTTCAATTGTAATGTGAGGATTTTCTTCACCCCAGTAAACACAATTGTGCCTATTGACAGTTCCATTAAGTTGGAATTGGGCTTCATCCGACCAAATGATGCTACCCATAAATCCCGGTTCACGTATCCCGTATCACGTAATAACCTGCTTACGTTCTTCAAAACTCAAACGTACGTCCCCCATGTTGATATTACAAATTCCAACTGATAATATAACATAGAGGGACTATTATGCTGGCACCTGGCGAAGAAATATAACATTAGCCTTGTAGAGCGGAAAAACTACAATAGTTTAAAGTGTGTATACATTTTTTTGAAGCACTCTGTATATATATATATATATATATATATATATATATATACATGTATAAAGTACGTGTCACGTTGTTTGTCCGCGATGGACTCCTAAACTTCTTAACCGATTTTAATCAAATTTGCACACCGTGTGCAGTTTGGTCCAACTTGAGGGATAGGATAGTTTTTTTTCCCCACGAGTAACCCACAAAATTTTTTTTTGCGAATTTAAGGATTTTTTTAGGAATTTTCTATAGAACAAAGGGTTGCCGAAAAGGCCAGAACAACGTCTGCCTGGCAAGCTAGTATATATATATATATTATTTTTTATTTCAAGCCGTGGTAGCTCAGAGGCTAGCGCTCGCTGTAAATTTCACAGTTCAATCCCCGCCGGCATTAATGAAAATGTTAATTACAACTTTTAATAATTACAACTGAATGTGTTTGAGTGAAATTGATTCGTTATATTAGTGTACGATTAGGATAAGACTATTAATATTTAGTTTTGAACTTTCTCATGTAGGTGAATTATTGTAAATTCTTATGAGAAATAAAGATATCTCAAACCTTTTATGTTAATCATAATACATAAAAAAATTCTGATTTACCACGTATTAGGTTTTGAAGGGAAACATTGTGAGGAAACTTGCACGTCTGAGAAATAAGAGAAATAAATATTTCGAAGACGTGAAGTTCGCCAATACACATTGGGGCAGCGTGGTGGACATTTCCTTGCAATAAACCCTCTCAGAAATAAGAGGAGGCCTGTGCCCAGCTGTGGGATGTATATATGCTGTACATATACATGTACTGTACTTATAGGCTGTACATATATTTTTGATTTATTGTTTTTTTTATTTAATAATATTTAAAAAACATTAAACAATAAAAATAATCATCATTATTATAGAATTATATATAAAAATAGAATAGAAATAGATACAAGTGTTATGTATAATTTCAGAAAATTTTATAAACTATGCCTATATATTAAAATATTTACATACACGCGAAATACTATAGTCCGTCGTTTCCTCGCTACTTTTAGAATTGCGGAACTGCGTAAACTAAATACGGATTATAAAAAAAAGATAAATAATGTTCAGTAAAAACTAAATAGAATTTACGAAACATTATTCGTCCGTAATAAGATTTATATTACACTAAGTTTCCAAGTTACAAGTGGTCTCGAAGATAAGCACAGAAAAACTATAGTTGACTATTTCACACTCGTAATAAAGTATCTATACATCCTTTCCTAACAGTTGAAGTGTAGTTAGTGTAGTAAATTTTTTTAAACGTTGATGTGTTGATCTGAGACCAAAGATAATATCCTAAAATTACCCTCAAGTCGCCTGTAAAGAAATTTACTTCAATATGCTAATTAAATCGAGCAAATATTAATTAATCGCAACATTGTATCGATATTTAAGAGAGAATGCACTCACTTGAATGCGGTGCATCTTGCTTATTAAAAATGTTTTAGCAGCTAATGACTAATGACAGAAAACCCATACAAAACCTCAACACCACAGAGACTGGTGACGGGTAGCAGCATCCACAACCACAAACCAGAAATTCTCGCAAAAGAACACCGATTGCTACCAAGGATGATACGCGAGGCTATTTGAATTAAAAAAACATCCTAATTTCAATAGAGAAGATGGATGGGTGCTGCCATCTGCTTGGGGTCCTATAATTAACAAAATTAAACCCAAACCCAAGCATACCACTGCAAGACTTCATGATACTATAAGCTCATTTTGCATAAATCGGACCAAAAATTAATATTCAAAAACTGAAGGTAGCCGGACTAACTATGACATTGGGACGTCAAACATCTCAGTCCCCCCATGACCATGGGTGCTGTAAAGCACCCGAAACGTCGGGATAATAAAAATAAATTAAAGTAATTAAACACGATAAAATCCGTATCCGTAATAATAGTTTTATTCAATGTGTTGTGTTCGCGTAAATTTAAGAAATCATTATGGGTGCGAGGGTATCGCATCTGCGCTTGAAAATTGGCCTGCCTAACGTGCTGAGAACGGACAAATTTTCCAAATAATACTTGCCACCTGACTAATTCTCGAAAAAGCTTATGTCCAACATTTGAATTCAAAAAGAGTTTTTTTTTTTAATATCTTTAATACATAAATTCTAACTGCACACATTAGTGAGGCAGCAGGTAAAATCACCGGTTCTTTATTTTACGTTAGTATTGTTGCGTGAATAAGTCAACGTCATACACTAGCGCCATCTAGTGTCAGGAACGAGAGCGATGGGAGCTTTGCAGAAAATGACATCACAAATCTTTCAACCGACAGCGCCTAGTCGAAACTCCAACGCTCGGTACCTTGCGCGTGTTTACTTGAACATTCTGGATATTTCTTTGCTAATTTATATAAATAGGCGCTGCAAGATGCGGTCGAGGCAGTGTTGATTTGGCGAGACAAGCGAAGCTTCGGAGCGGAATAAAGTGAATTAGTGTGTTTAATTATTGGTGTTTTAAGTTTTAATTTGTGTAAAGTAAATTAAAGTGTTAATTTAGGTAATTTTATCGGCAATTTTTATTGTCACGAACCTCAAGCTCGTAACAGTATTTTGTTAAAAACACAAATTCAATATGGTCTGCATTTTAAGTTCAACATTGGTATAAAAAATATGCCAACTGCCATAAATTCCTAACTCTCAAAACACATCACATCTTTTATTTCAAGCCTCATATAATTATAATTATCATCTTATTGCGCCAAAAATATAACAATATTTACCTCATACTTGGCCTCGTCACACGCACAGCATGGTTCCACTATAGGTGCCTGTCGGTTACCTCCAACAGGCGCTACAGGTGCGGGGCACAACTTGCGCGCCAATATGGACCAGGAACCTGCCTTCTCAGCATCCTCTTTGACTTTGGAGTGACTAGCACGCGCGCAGATACGTACGCACCCATTTTGTGCGTTCAACGGCGCGCTCCATATTACCTTATTAATAGAAAAATCATTACATAAATTATCTAAAACTTTTTCGTCCATTATTTTTACCTTCATCGAAAAATGTACCTTGATTTTTCACAACAATAGCAATATCAAATAATACGTTTGAAGTAAAACTCTTTGTTAATGTTGATAATTGGCAATAAGATTCAAAGGTGTATAATATTTTAATGGCAATGATTGACATAATTTATAATATGAACATCATATTATTCAACTTTGTCAGGGCTGTAAGAAATTTGAGAACAGGTTTTCAACGCTGTTCCCGAACTATTCGCTCTATAACTCGTGAAACAGGATATCCTCAAATTTGAATTATAAAATGTAATGTCATTGGATGTCATTTTTAATTATGTCAACCATAGAATCTATATATATGTAGACAACCTAGAGAGAAAATTGCAACTCGTTTGATATTATCAACGAAAAATTTACGAAACAATCATTACGTATCTCCCTGTTTCCTCCTTCCAAACCTTCGACCCTATCGTATAAACATCACGAATAAGTAAGAAATTGTAAATAATAATATAGAAAACTAGAAGCAGTTAGAATTGGTTGACTCGACTAGGAAAAGAACACGGTCATACTTCATCGTGAATATAATAATAGTAATACCATCGTGAAATAGTAGCATAATGCTGCTGTGTTTCTTGTGTTTAGTAGCGAGAACCAAAGAGATTTTTTTACTGACAACCCTAGTCATCAGGGATCGCAACGCATCTGCTTTTTTATTTTTAATCGAGGATAGATTTAGGTGTTATATGGGCCACAATATTTATTTGCCATCAGATGGACTGCGGGTTCGTTCGTGAGACCCTTACTTCTGTATAAAAATGAGAGGAGGCCTGTGCCCATGCTCCATGTATATAGGCGCTGTAACTTTTTACATTACTAATTAAGAATCACTATTGTAACAACCAACCTGTATTTCAGTTTTAGGATGTGCAGTTGCATTAGCGACGGCAGGTTTACAATCTTCGTGCAATTTCGCCTGTGTGTCATACGCTTGAAAAGCACCAAGGGATTGATTTTTAGGCTTGTAAGAATTAGTTTCGGCTGTTTTTTTAGCTTCCTCAAGTTCTTCGTTGGCTTCAGCCCATATCATAAATCCTATAAATGGTGTAGATCCTTCACCGCTATCAACGCCTTGTAATGATACTGAAAAGTTACCTCTTTGTTGAAAAAAAAAACAAACAAACCTTACACTGTACGTTACTAATTTCATTTCACTGTTTTTAAAATTTTTAGAATCAATATTCTCGAAATAAAGGGGATCGCCCATTTTCGGCCATGGAACGCCCAACAATGTGCATTTGTTAAAAAAATATATCTTTATTTATGATTATTAATCGCGGTATTCATTTATCCTAAAACAATGGGAATATTTTCGCACAAATTAAAAGTACCGAAAAGATAAGATTAAAATTAGGTAAATCATTAATTCATTAGTTTGTGAATAAAATAAAAAGTGTTGCCAATCACAATTCTCATTAAAAAAATCGATTCCCCTTTTCCATCGATTACTTATGGTGTCATTATTACAATGCTGATATACCCTATTAAATGATATAGGTTTAAAATAACCGTTGACAATGCATATTTATCCAAAGCAGCCGATACGCAACCGTTATTAACCAGTTGTTTATCCGACTACAGACGAAAAAGGATTGTTATGTTTTTACTGTGTGTGCGGGTTATTCTATGTTGAATCGTTTTTTGCTATGGTGCTTAAAAACGTAGGATGCATTTTATTATTGAGGGCGCTACTATCAAAGAATATTTTTTTTCGCTAAACTCGTAAAGTACTTGACCAACTTTGAGAATTCTTTCACCACTAGATTGTTATGAGACTGAGCCGTGGTAGCTCAGTGGTTAACGCTCGCTGTAAATATAACAGAACGCGAGTGACCCGGGTTCGATCCCCGCCGGCACCAATGAAATTGTTAATTGCAATTTTAAGTGTAATTTACCATGTGCTCGGCGGTGAAGGAAAACATCGTGAGGAAACCTGCATGTCTGAGGAATAAGAGAAAAAAAAATAATTCGAAGACATGTGAAGTTCGTCAACACGCATTTGGGCAGCGCGGCGGACACTTCCTTGCCCTAAACCCTCTGAGCCTGAGGCCTGAGCCCAGCAGTGGGACGTATATAGGCTGTAACTTTATTTTACTTTTACATTGCTAATGAGGGCGTTAGCTGTGTGATACATTTATGTTATTACAATAATTAATTGTGAGATTAATATTTTCTAAATTAATAAAACTAAATACCTACCTAAGATGTTCAAATCCAATTATTATTTTTACAATTTAAGAATCGTATTTACACACTTTACTTACTCAGATTGATTATTATAGATAAGGAGGTAATAAATCTAAAGTAAAAGAGCTCCGCTTAAACGAAAAAACTATTTATTAAGGGGAAATATAACCTCAAATGGCTTAGCAAGATCCTCCGTTATGCCGAAAGTATTGCAGCATTAATTTTGAAATAAATGTATGGTAAAGTTGAGGATTAATGTTAAGGTTTATGTTAGACGAAAACACGATTCCGTAAAATTTTCTCGATAGAAAAAAAATCCAAAGTTACCTCCAAACTGAACAATAAACCGCTGTTATTCATAAAATACTTTAAATAAGATCATGAAACTTTGCATACTAACTGAACTAACCATAAAGCAGTGCTTATGTTATTTACTTTTTTTAAAATATCATTATTTTCACTGTAAAAAAGAAATTACCTAAACTATCGGCGCGTAAGCTTGGTTCCTGCGGAGCGACAGGAACCAAGCTTACGCGCCGATAGTTTAGGTAATTTCTTTAAGGCATAACGGAGGATCTTGCTAAGCCATTTGAGGTTATATTTCCCCTTAAAATAAAACTAAAAGTTGAAAAAAAGTGGTTCAGTGCGAGTCGGACTCGCAGGCCCATGAAGAGTTCTGTAGTAACAAGCATATATTTTAAATGGAGTCAAAATACCACTTTCATTATCGCCAGCAACAAATTATTTTGTTTTTCATAGTGTTTGTATAAATAACAAAGTTGTTTTTGCGGTTATTTAAAATGTGCTACTTGTGTCTAAAAAAAGGATTATTATACATTATAGGAGTTTCTGTGGTTTATTCATTACCAAAGAGAAATAACTTATTGCACAAAATGGGTTTTTATCCATTTCAAGTCATCAAAAGCGGTAGTCAACCGTTAAAAACTAAAACAACCGTTGTTATAGGCTCGGTTGAATTCATTGACAACCTTCACATTTATAGTTATGATAATTAAACAAGCGAATTACTAGCTGATTTACCAAGAATTCTTTAGAGTATAACAAAACGCTACTGCACAAGTTAACTGTTATTCTTATCTGTTTTTAACATAACATTTAAAATGGAATCATGTTATGATAATTCAAGAAGTTAATTTCTAGCCGATTTACCACGAGTTCTCTAAAGCATAACAAAACAATACAGCACAAGCTAACTGTTCCTAAAAATACATTTGAAATAGAATTTTAATAAATAAAGGAAATTATATTTTAAAAAAGCGTGCAGAACTTAAAACGAGTCAAAGATTATTCTTTTCATGATATTATTAATCGAATAAAAATCGATATCGTTTCATAGATTTTATGACAGTTAAGTGGCAACATCGAACCTGACATGTAGGCTCCTGTCACTGTTATGTCACAAGAATTTAATTGCGTGTTATTTTGTTTTGTTGGAAAATGCAATTGTTGATCTCTCAACAATTGGTTCGAACACAGCAGGTAAATAGTTGGTACATATCACGAAGTGGCATGTTTTCCTCTAAAAATGCTATATAACTGAGTTTACTTGAATAATATCAATATAATAATTGTAGCTTCTTTATTAGGTACAAGTTTCGAGTACAGTGAACGTGTAGTGTGCCACTCGCAAAATGCACCAATAGTTCGTCTTGAACATGTATACATCAGCTGTGGCACTGACACTTATAAGAATAAGATCACACACATTGTTTGGGTTCGATTCTCCACGTGAGGAACAATTTGTGCCACGTGAGTTAAGATAAGGTAAGATGTTTAGCATTTTTCAATATATTAAATGTGATCCTCATATCTGATAATTATACATGTTTTTACACTGATTGTATATCAACTCAAGAACTTGTTTTATTTTTTCACATCTGCACTAGCTATATCTGACAAACATACTAGCTTATTTATGAGATTGACCATTTTTATCAAGGCCTAGGGTAGTCTGTCAGGCCTTAATTGTTAAATAATATAGGGCATTAAATCCGTCCTTGTCCAGTAACATTTAACTTGATAAATATTTTATTTATATTTGAGTTTGAAATAAACAAATCTATTTTATTTTTTCACTTTGACTTCATTTTTTGTATTTTACATTATTTCAGTTGCCGTTGTCATGCCGTGTATATCATAATTGCTGGCAATGAACTGTTAGAACAGCATCACGTTCAACTGCAGAATGGGAACCATCTGAATCATCTAGTCCGTCCTTGTTGCAATCTGAAGTGAGTAATGTATTGCACCCAGAACAACAAAGCTTAGATCATACATCACACAGTGTACTGCTAACTAATTATTTAAAAGCACAATGTTTTTTACCTGGTTGTAACAGTTCCATCAGCATTGCGAGTATGTCTCTTTTGTGATTAACTACATTTTGCGATAACAAACATACATAGTGACAATTACTATGTATGTGTGTTATACGTGGTAGAGCCATGCTGCACTTATATTAGAAGTATAGTTGTAGCATGAATGGGTCGGCCCGACCGGGGAAGGACCAGTGTGAAATAGTAGCTTAATGCTGCTGTGTTTTGTATGGTGAGTGTAGACAACCAGACACCCTTTTTACTGGAAACGAGAAAATGATCTTAGTCCTCACGGGTGACAACGCATCTGCATTTTGATTTGTAATCGAGGATAGATGTGGATGTCTAAGGGTCGCAGGAATGTCTCCAGCAGATGGTGAATCTCAGTTAATGACAAGATATGCTAATAAATCCAGAGCTGTGACTATGTGTCGATATGGGTAGTAGAGGTGGTAAATGACATTTTAAAAACTGAATTTAAAATATTTTATCAAAATTACTTTAACAGGGCTTCTACACATTTGATGATAGACTGCTGTGGCTGCTGCTATAATTAGTAAATTCCACACAAAAATAAGGGACAGGGATGATGCGGCTCAAATACTTGAAATTGTTCACCAAAATATGGAGACAAATAATGATTTGTCTGAGTATGCTAGGGAAAAGAATCTAAATAGAGCTAGGGCAAGCAGACTTTAGAAATATAAATGTAGACTTTAAAATGTTAGGGAATTTCCTGTTTTAACTTACAGCGACTTAATATTAATTGCTTGTGTCACATGCCAATTAAAGCAAGCTCGCTACTATTATGGTGAGCATATAAGATTTAATGGTTGCTACCGGATAGAACTCTGTAATAACTAGAGGAGCAGCATTATGGAAGGAATAAAATTAAGCCCTAGCTGATCTTTACTTAGGGCTAGAATTGCAAGTCATCACCATTAGTCGTAAAGTGTATTTTATATATATTTTAATTAGTGGCAATGGTTCTGGTAGAAGTGCAATTAAAAAGTACTGTCGGCCGTCGAACTGTTGGATGCTGTGCCCATGTTATGACAGTAATATGGTATTTGGGTTGGCACGGCATCAGACTAATATTTTGCTTCCTGCTCAGTTCCTGAATGATGTATTGATGTGTAAATTAGAGGCAAATAATTCCTTAGCTTTCCTAGATGCGTTAGTCATCCAAAATTCTAACAACACCATAGGTCACACTGTGTATAGAAAACAATGAATCTCACCATCATCCTTCACAGTTAGTTACCGTGAGCAAATCTTTGTTACAGAGAGCACAAGGGATCTGTGGCAGCAAACATCTGGCTGTCGAGCTTCAGCACGTCAAGCAGGTTCTGCACGTCAACAAGCTTCGGGCCCGCGCTTACGTCACAGTGACCGAGTGAAGCCGGCCACAGTAAAGCATGTGCAGTAGTAGCATTTGTCAGGGGTGTCACAGACAAGATTGGCTACATCTTGAAGCGTGACGTCGCTGACGTGAAGCATCAAAGTTCAGGGAAGTTTGCAGTTTGTGATCATATTCTGGACGGGCCCAACTAGCTAGAC